GAGTCTCTTGTAAACATATAATGTCATTATTAAAATGTCTTAGATAGTGAAAAATCTTGCGTCTTTTGTGGGGAACATTGAGTCCCCCTACATTCCATGATGTTAACTTACACATTAGGGGATTTTATTCCACTGACGAGACTAGCCGCATATGATTTCACAAAGACCTTAGGACGAGCGCCGCCTACTGGCTGCGAAACAGCCGGTATTTGACAATCAGCTGGAGGGATATCAGCTACCACCACCACACTTTCTTGAACACTTTCTTATTGCCCTGCATCGGTCCGCTTCTCTCTTCTCAGTTCTGGGAATGGCAGCCCCATTTTCTGCCATTTTCCTCCTGGCAGAAGAGAGGAAAGGAAGGATGCTTCGTATGGAAGGATGCTAAGCTCCGGGAAAACTGCCAGCTGGAGGTGGGCAAGGAAGGCCAAGGCCCCTATGGGAAGCAGATCTGCTCCTCAAGGGCTTTGCAGAACCATCAGGGTAGGGGAGCCTAGTCTTCCTCGCCCTGCTCCAGGTGATCTGCAGGGCGAAGCGGGGGCGGCGGCGACCGAAGAAAGCCCCTCCAGCAGCAGACGTGGCTGTTGTGCAGTGGTGGCAGAGTCTTTCGCCATCACTCCCCCCTGGCTCCGAAATAGTGGAGGGGGACCGGGTAAGGCTCATCCTCCATAGCATGGCAATCTGGCTTGGGAGGGGGGTGAAAGGGAAAAGGGGGGAGGGCAGCTGGGTCATTGAACTGGCAGGGGAGGTCACCAAGCCGGGAATAGCCTGGGTGCAGGGGCCCGGAAGTAATCAGGTCCGGGACATGTGAGGCAGCTCACCCCCACCCTAGCTTGATTTTTATGTGTGCGCCTCACCCCACCTCTTGCAACCAGAGAGCAGGGTCTTAACTAGGGCTTATTTGGGGGGTAGGGCTTATATTAGGTGCACATGTAAAATCAGGCTAGGGCTTATTTTGGGGATAGGTCCTTTTTCGGGGAAACACAGTAATACTACAACTGACAGTCCTGAAAAGCAAAAGAAATGGGAGAAGGATGATCAGAATAAGAGACAATAAGCTCAGTCTTCTCCATATCTAGTTTAAGATGGTGAGAAACATCTCAACTGCATATTTAAACGGGAAGGCAACAGAAAAGGGATGATCATGCCATATCATTCATAATCAGAATAGAGAATGACATCATGTCATTAGCATAAATACTATGATAGTTTAACCAAAAGAAGAAATGAGAGCACCCAAAGACAAAATGTACAAGGTGAACAGATGATTGAAAATTGAACTCAATGGTTGAGAGCAAAATATTTGTTGTTCTATTTTTGGGGTGTGATGGCATGGACTTTTGAGATTCAGGGATCCATAGCATAATCTCATTTTTCATACCTCTGTATTTACCTCTGCTGTAAAAATTTCAAATTTAGAGAGGCATTAACTGTTTTCAAGACACTGTCTCTCTCTCTCTAAGTACAATCATCTTTTTGTGCTTGTAGGAAAAAACTGAAAATTCTATGGCCTGTGGAAGATCTGGAAAGGATTTCTAACTATTTATATTTGTATATTTGTATTTGTATATTTATTCGTTAAATTGACTAAATATTAATACAAATTTCACTGCAACCACCTTCTTTCTACAGTTACAATTGATGCAAATGGTGTTAGCAAAACAGTGGACGATGATGTTTTTGTTCATCTTGCAAACACATATGCTAACAATCATCGCACAATGAATAAAGGGATTGTGTGTGATGATATGAATTACTTTAAAAATGGCATTACAAATGGATATTACTGGTATACAGTGAAAGGTACAATTTTCCATTGTTTCCTTGTGCCTCTTCTGTTTCTTTGATAGTAGAATACTTATAGATTTTAAGATCTTTGTCATCCATACAGAGTTTGAAGAACTCACAGTAGTGACTGCTGAGATTAATATGGAATCCAATATGGATTAATTTTATGCTAAAAACAAAGATAGGTTTTCACATACTTTTGGGGCCAAAGATGAAAATAAGGGAGTGGAGAACTATTTATGCCATATGAAGGGGTAAAAGAATTTACATTCCAAAGCTATAGCAAGCAGTATTTCTACATAAGGAATGTTTGTGCTCTGAAAAAAATCATGAAAGTATGGAAGATAGAATGGTACAGGATGTGTTTGTATAGATGCTTCATGCATCTTAAATTGTTTGGATTTTTCCAATGTACATTTGGTTGAATAAATAAACAGGCTAAAACACCTATTCAGACTAACATCTAAATTGCATTCAACATTATTTGTATTTTTTTAGCATTATACTTAACAGTGAGTTCATTTTATATGTCTGATCTTATGTGATATGTTATGCCAGTAATGGCGAACCTTTTAGAGACCGAGTGCCCCAAAACTGGCCCCGCCCCTGCTCCGCCCCAGCCCGCCCCCCCTGCCCTGCCTGCCCGCAGGGCCACTCACCACCTCCAGGGCCCGCCACAGATCACCCAGGCAGCCCAACAGCACCATGGCGGCCATGCCCTCTGCCTGCGCCCCGCAGCATCAACTGTGCGCGATGGGGTGTGAGGGCAGTCTTATCTACGCTGCCTGGCTGCCATGTCCTTGGCTGCGCTGCTCCACGTGGGCCATGCTCGGGGGCGACTCTCCTCCAGGGGGGCTGCTGGTGAGGAGGGGGTCACGGGGGGAGGTGAGGCTGGGGCAATGGCACGTGTGCCCACAGAGAGGGCTCCGAGTGCCGCCTCTGGCACGCGTGCCATAGGTTCGCCATCACTGTGTTATGTCAACAAAAAGAGGTATGAGAAGAAGGCTGAAGGAGCAATAATGCACTGCTCCCATTGCTAATCACCCTATGATACCACAACGATTACTATTAATAAGAGTATAGCCTTTTGTAATTCCCTAGCATGCCCAAAACCTTGAGCCACAGACGTGTCTTAATAGCAATAATCCATCCTCAGGTGCGACGTATTTTTTCTTTGTAGTCCTTGAAGTTCTTCTGTCTGAAGTTCTGTTCTTCTTCTCCTCTCCTGACTACCACAATTCTTCATTTTCCACATTCCTCAATTTAACTTTAGATTTGCTACATAAAAACAAAGTCATTTTAATTCTTACCTTTGTTTAAATAGAATTGTAGACCTCAAATCCTATTTTAAAATGTAGACATTTTTGAAATGTATGTTGCTATTGTCTGCATCAACTTTATTTGCTTCCACATGCAAAAGTGGATATATTTGTAGATGTTATCTACTGTATGCAATCAGAATAATTATAGTATGTTATGGTTGATTGCCATTAACTAGAAAAAAAGTGCTGTTCACACCTAATTACATGAGTAATTAAGTGGAAGCAGTCATTAGACAATACCGGTAGTAGTGATAAAATAATTAGCATTATCATTAATTATTTGGAGTTGCAAAACCTGATGGTGACATCTGCAGAGAAGTTCAGTGTTGGTGTTGTCCAGCCTCATTCATGATGCAGAAGTGCTTGCTTGCAGATCAAGAGCACATATTGATGGATGAGAAGCAATATGGAAGTAATCAGGAGAATAATATGCTTGTTTATTTTTTGACTGACATTTCAGTGATGTAATTGAACATTTTACTTTAGGTAGCATGCAGGATTATAATTATGTTTGGGGACAATGCTTTGACATTACATTGGAGTTATCATGTTGTCACTATCCCTTAGAAGACAAGATTCAAGATTTCTGGGATAACAATAAAATTGCTTTGATTGAATACATTAAACAAATTCATCTAGGTAAGTCAGTTCTGTTGCATTTAGTTTATTGGAATCTGATATCCTGTAAATCTTGTGGAATAAATTACTTAAAGGACAATTTATATTTGTTGGGTTGTTTCTACAAGAATTGCCACTGATAATATTGTTAAGCAAGTCCAGTTTCCCCAATTAACATTGCTTGTCAGAAACTGGCTGGGAAGATTGCAATTAGTTGTAAAATGTGAGCCAGTTGCCAAACTCCTGAATTGTGATCATGTAACCACTGGGGTTCTGGGACCATTGTAACTTCAAGGACAGGTGGAAATCACTTTTTCCAAAGCTGTCATAACTTGGAACCATTGTTAAGTGAGCACTTGTAAATTGATGACCACCAGTATTGACAAACCATCCTGGCAAAATAATATCCATATAATCACAAAGAATCAGAAGTGGCTGAATAACTGAATAATAAATGTACATTTACAACTACAAATTATAGTTCACATATGAACGTGAAGTGTGTTTCTTTTTTCAAAAAGTCCATTGATATTGTCTACTTATTGTTTATTCATTCTACATGTTCACTTCATTTTAATGTATATGTGCTAAATATTATCATTATTTGTTAAGTTTATTTGCTGCCTGTCTCGCTGTGGGGCTACTCTAGGTGGTTTGCAAAAATAAGGGAGTGTAAAAGAGTGTAAACAGAACAGCAGTAAGATAATAGAGCAATAAAATAAACAATGAAAAAAAATATGGACAGGTGGAGAGCAGAAAACAGGGAAAAGGGGGGGGGGGAGTTTGCCATCAATTGAGCAACCACTCCACTGGGGAATTCTCCGATTTGGTACCAAGGCCAGCCGGCAAAGCTAGTTCTTTAGGAGGCTCTTCTTCTGGATCCTGACAGATAGTTCTTTGACCGATGGGATCCGAAGTAGGCCGTTTGCCGGGATAAGTAGGAGGGGCTTGTCTAGCTGAATGAGGTGTTCATCAGGTGGCCTGGGCCTATGCCATTAAGGGCTTTAAAGGTCATAACAACACCTTGAACTGTACTTGGAAGCAGACCAGAAGCCAGTGAAGTTTATGGAGCAGAGAGGTAATATGGGCCATCCTAAGGGCTCTCAAGACTGCTCTCACTTCTGCATTTTGCACCAGTTGGCTTCCAAATTGAGTTCAAGGGTAGCCCCATGTAGAATGCATAATAGTCCAGATGAGTACAGGGAATCATGATCTAGGAAAGGTCACAGTTTGTGCACAAACTGGAATTATGCAAAAGCTCCCCTAGTCATGCCCACCACCTGCTCTTTGAGAAGACATGAGTTCAGGAGAATCCCTAGATTGGAAACTGGATCGGAACAGAGATATGCAATTGCATCCAATTGACAAACACTGAGATCTTGAGGGTTGATGCACCCAAAGCCATTTGATCTTGTCAAGGTTAAGTCGAAATCTATTGTCCCCCCCATCCAAATCCCTGCAACCTCCAGACATCATCAGGGCAGAGATAGCATCACTCAGGTCACCTGTGTACTCCTTTACCCATTCATTCATGTTTTTTCCAGAGTGGGTTACCATCATCATAATGAAAACATGTATAGTACAATTTCAAACTACCTAACAATAAAACATGTAGTTCCCTAAAATAAAATCATGTATTAAATCATAAAATGACTTACAGAAGAGCAATAAACATAAATGGCAATATCTAGTGTATTAATCAAAGGCCCTCTGAAACAATCCTGTTTGTAATAATTTTCCTGAAGCCTAACGAGCTGATCAGATTTCAGGGATACGGAGTTCAATAACATTAGCACCACCACAGAGAAATAATATCTGTATTAACTCCGTCTACTTTGGAGCATATATTTATGTGTTATGCATTGATGATTTAGGCTTGTTCTGTTGTACAGCTATAGCCAAGAAATTCCAACTTGCCCTTTAGTCACAGTTGTGCTTGCAAAGAATCATCACTGAATTGTGATCATCCGTAGCAAAGGAAATTCTGTTACAGGCTGAAAAAAATAAAGAAAAACACCACCCTTCTTTCCTCCTTATAGGTGTAAAAGGTCGTGTTCTGAATCCAAATAACAAACCAATTGCAAATGTGATAGTGGAAGTTCAAGGAAGGAGGCACATATGTCCTTACAAAACCAATAAAAATGGAGAATATTACCTTCTCCTCTTGCCTGGAGTCTACACTCTCAATGTAAGTACAATACATTTATCCAGCTCTTATCCAAAATACTTTTGTATTTTGTATATTCTGTCCCAGGCCCTTGAACTGTATCAATCTGTGGGGTTTGAAGTAACTTGTGTTTCAGACTTTAGGATATGAAATGAGCATTCTGCACATGGAGCAAAGATTCATTGATATGGAACTTCATGTTAAACACTCTGAAAATAAAAATAGTAAACATCACCATACTGACAAGATTTAAATTTGTTTTTCAGGCAACCCTCCCTGGATTTATGTCATTACAACAGGAAGTGGTTTTACCAAATGGTGCAGAAAAATTCAGTGCCTATGAATTTGATTTTATTTTCTCAATGGAATCTACCTCAGAAAAGTCTGTTCCATGCCCATTGAAATCACTTTACTCAAACAGTATTAGTAGATTTACTATTACAGTGCTTAGTATTAACTTTCTAATTTTTGTATATATAGTCATATAAAAATTTGTATTTTTAAATTTGCTTTTTAACAGTTGTATGTACTCGACTATAGAAGATTTTAAAGCATTGAGATATTCTGGATAATAAAACCTTTGAATTAACAACTGCATTTTGTTTCAACCTTTGAGAGTAAGGAAATGTGCACTCAGGTCACAGTGGTATAATTATTTGTTAATTTAATGAAACATCTTCACTTAAAATAGAATTTCTAATAGAATTTCTAACACAACTGGCTTTTAGGGATAAAAGTGAGAAGTCAGAAGAGATCAATAGCATGTTTTACGTGGTCAGTCTTCTCATTAAGACGAATGCAACTATTTGCTTCAAGTTTTTTCCACTGTTCAGGGCGTCTGTACACACATGGAACCTACTCTGAGCAACCTGAGCCAATGGAGTGATTTTATTAGTACCTACTAAGCATCTATAACAAATGCTCTTGGATATGGTGCTGTATAAAAAAGCATAATCTGTTGCTTTTACCTTTCCTCGTCTCTCCTTGGAATCACATTTTAGAACTCTAAATTAGGGAAAATATTTCAGTGAAAAACTATTTTTACATTCCAAAAGTGCAGTACTAATGCAGTTTTGCCCCAGAATACAAATGGGGAAATACTATTTTATATGCATGCACACACACCCCCAAGAAATACAACATATTATGGAGGCTCTTCTTTGTCAGATCTCATTTTAGAAAATAAAGCTTCAAGTAAATTGATCATCATCTACAATCTTTAGATTGTACGTTTGGAAAGAAAGAATTAACATTACATATTGTTGCCTCTCCCCACTACCAAAGAAAGACTGGAAACTATTGCTGTGAACTGAATTACTGCATGATAATAAAATATGGAAGATAAGCAAAAGCAAAGATTGATTGCTTATTGGGAAAATTTATTGGTAAATTATAGGTCGCAACTCACATTCATTGTACATTATTTGCTTGCTGTGAATGTGTTACAGTAAGTACTTGGAATGCTACGTCTTATTTCAGTGACTTTCAGAATTAGTTCTTCTAAAAACTTTTTTAACAGAATTCTTGCCATAATATTTGATCACAGCACAAATGTAAATGATCCTTTTTAATTTCACCATAGTACAGGTATGGTAACCATGGCCTAAAGAATGTAACTTGAGTAGATCATCAAAACTTCATTGGTTCACTGAGGCAAAGGTAGAGCTTTCACATTGGGAACAGACTGTAAGCTTGTCCAGGCCCAAAACAACTGTCTGCCTCTTGTTTTAATCAGCATTAAGGGATCTGTCAGAACTAGTTTTTTTCACGAGCTTTAGGCTCTTTTTGAGACAATCTTAGTTTGCTAGCCAATAACCACTTAGACACAATAAAAATATTAGACAAGATGGAACCTGGAAAGCATCTAGGATTGCTTCAATCATTATTAAGCATCTTCCATTGTATCCGTGTATTTGGAAAAGGGTAATTTGAAGTTCTACATCACATATAACTTGGCCTACAGTATTTGGATCAGCTTAGGTAAATCAGTAGTTTTCAGATTTAGAACAGAATATATACTTTATTTCTGTGGTCCTTACAAGAATATTAAGATTTCTTTATATTAAATATAAAGAATAAGCTCTGAATTATCAATCTTCATCATGTATACATGTGCTTGCTATTTTGGCAAATTTCAAAACTAAACTGGAGAATGTTCTGATCATACTGTCAGTTGCAGTGCAATGTTTAAAGTTTCTATGTTTTGGAAAATAAATATATTTGTGTAAGCATTCAAAACTGCATTCTGTGTTATTCTACATGTAGGAACAGTTGTTTGCACTGCAGCTAGCAAAAATAAGTTAGCAATATCATCTCAATAGGCTGCCTGCAAACTGGGCAAGGCTTGTTCCTTTTTTTCAGCTTTTTTGCACATACAAAACATGACATTAAGTGTCCTGTCCTTCCATGTACTATGCAACCATTTTTAGGTCGTGTTTGACATATGACACAAGGCTCTACACTGGAGATAGGCTGCCCGGGTTCCAGTCTTTCTTCTTTGTCCTCAATGTCTTCTTTCTCAGATTCTTTACAGTCTTCTTGGCTACTACAAAGCATACTGCTAGATGTGGATGGTTGTGAATATGCCTCACTTTCCTGAGATTCAGGGCTTTGTTCTGCACTTTCTTCTTTATCCTCATTCATTTTTCCTTTCTTACAGTCAGGAACATCAAAGCCGTCCTCAGGATCTAATGGTGAAGGGTTTAGAAATTCGCCCTTCTTGGCTATTTCAGTTTTTTTATCAGGAAGCCAATCCTTTCGAAGAGTCCAGCATCTTGGGCAATGGGATGGAAGAGGTGGGTTCATTTCATTGCACTTTGTGCATTTCCAATAATCCTTTGATGAATTAGATAGAAATAATTTATGTTAATGAAAATGCTTTATTAAAATAAAAGATAAACTATGATGTTTTTTGTGCACATGATGGGCTGTAAAAAGTTCTCAGAAGGGGCCGTATTTGTAGCCAAAACTTATAAACTCCTGTTTCTGATCATTGCAATCCTTATTTGTACAAAATAGACATATAAAGTCAAAGCAAGGGCACTATGCCATAGATGCATGGTAATCTAGAAATATGTTGAAGAGCTAATAATGTTGGATGCTTTCATATATATAAATATGTAAAGCCTATACAGGTAGTCCTCGAGTTATACCACAAATGAGCCCAAAATTTATGTTGTTAAGTGAAACATTTATTCAGTGAGTTTGCTCCATTTTATGACTTTCTTGCCACAGTTGTTAAGTAATCCTTGCATTTGTTAATAACACGGTTGTTAAGTGAATCCGGCTTCCCCATTGACTTTGCTTTTCAGAAGATCGCAAAGGGGGATCACATGACCCTGGGACACCGCAACGGTCATAAATATGAATCAGTTGCCAAGCATCTGAATTTTGATGTGACCATGGGGATGCTACAATGGTTGTAAGTGTGAAAAATGGTCATAAATCACTTTTTTCAGTGCCGTTATAACTTTGAACAGTCATTAAATGAACTGTTGTAAGTGGAAAACTATATGTACTACTTGTACCTTTGTGACAGATTGAAGCTTTGCATATAAATAGCAATTGACTAGAAGTCTTAAGTCAGAAGCATTGGTTGATAAGATATGAGGTGAATATATTCTGAAAGGCAAAATGTCCATGATTGGAATAAAATTTCATGTTAAAAGTATTTTAACTGGCCAGGGTCTGGACTACTTAATATATACTGCTCAAAAAAATAAAGGGAACAGTTTACAATGGAACTGAAGGGGTTTGCGTTCCCTTTATTTTTATGAGCAGTATACTTCATGGTACAGCTATTCACAGCACTTTGGTTTTAGCGACAGAACAGTTATGCTTAAAGAAAAGTGATTTAAAATTAATAGATTTTCGCCAAGATAATTTCAGAAAAGGATCCTGACAGAATTTCAGACTTGGTGCCATATTATTGTAATGCACTCTGCTGTCTGAGATACTTGATTTCCTGCAGATTGATTTGGTGATATACCCAATTCTCATTTTGTTACATCAATGCAATCACATCGACTCTATTATTAAGGAAATGATCATCATTCCACATGTAATGGTTTGGGGAAAGGGATCAATATACATTCTTTCCTAAAGTGAACTCTTATTACCCTATATATAACAAAATAATTTTTAAAAGATTTATGAAATATATTTTTCTAATTAGGTTGTTATATTAGTATTTATTAGAGAAAAATATACAATTGGCATCTGAAAATAGATTGTAACTCTCCTTCACTGAAATACGACTCTGAATTAAAGCTGAAAACAACATGCAATTAGTCTCAAACCAAGATTTTACTTACTGCTAGTGAAATTTCAGGGTCTTCATCAAATGAATCTATATCACTATCTTCGGTGTGATATATAGTTACTTGATATACCTGATGAAAATGATTTTTAAATTATTTTTTAATTAAAATTCACACAAAATACATTTTATAACTCTAGATTAAAGTTAATTTGTGAAGGTTTAATTCTGTTCCATCAATGAAAATAAATTTCACAAACAATTATTTTACTATTTGAGAAGAAAATACAGTAATTTCCCGTTCCAAGTCAAATGACTCAATATTTAATTTTAAAATCAATAAAATCTTATTAGGAATTATCTTTGAGAATAAGAATGAGATAAAAAGGAAACAGTTAACAGCTTCCTACTCTTTCAGAATACTTCCAAAATTAGCTATCAATTGTATTAAACAATTACTTATTTTAAAAAGCTATAGAGGTCCAGTTCAGAAAACTAAGACATTAATTAGTCTATACAAGACAAATGTCTGGCTTCATACAATGTGCTATACCATAGCAAATAATTCACATCCTAACTTTGCACAATAAGTAAACCCAGTCTTTATCTAAAGCTTTGGAGGTGGAAGCAAACATGGATGTAAGATAGAAAGCTTTATAGGCATTGCACAGCCTTCAGTACATTGTTTTGTCATTATTAGCTATTTTTGGATTTCCAAATTTTTTTTTTACTAATTTTCAAAGTATCTAGGACTTGTCAGTACACAGCTCTATCAGACACATTTGAAAAGACTAATGATGTAGTATTTTGCACTGAAAGGTCCTAGGTTTAAAACCTGGATTGTTTTCAAAACGAGGGGTCCTTGGTGCTCTCTGAGTGTAAGGACCCACCTCAGCTAACCACCCAAGAAAGCAGAACTTTTGAAACAGGCATTCTCAAAAGGATACTTTTTATTGGGGGTTAGTGACAGTAGAAAAGTCAAGGCAAGATCTGAAGAAAATTCAGCTTGAACAATATAATTAAACCAGCAATATTCCTCCTCCCACCAAAGTCATAATGTCCATTTGAAATCCAGCCAATCCACAGGTGGCAAAACAAGTGGGTAACTGGTACAGTTGGCTCGCATCTCAAGGTCTTCTTCAGTTTTCATTTCTCTGTAACCATCTCCCTGATAAGGGAGAGACATTCCTTTCTCAAGTGAATAGAGGTGGAGGAAGGAAAGCAGAAAGTGAAAGTTATCCCAAGCTAAAGCAAATATCCCCCCTTCCCCCAGCATAATGGCAGGCCCCAAAGCAAAGCACAAGAAGAAATATATGGAAGGGAGACAATAAGGATTTGGGGAGCTGACACTGAGCTTGTTTTCTTGCAGAAAACAGTGCTCAGAGCACCGATTATGTTATCTAGTAGTTTGGCTAATGAAATGTCTGCAAGAAAACAAGCAAGCTCAGAGGGCACCAAGAACCCCTCATTTCAACCTTGAGCTAAAAATATTCTCCTTTATTGATTTTCAAAATAGAATAATAGAATATGCCATTTAGGTAGAAGCATTTTCTCTCAGCATCAAAATTTATTTCTTAATTCAGATTCCTTTTATTTATACTGCGCAATTATTAGGCAAGTGAGTATTTTGACCATTATCATCATTTTCATGCGTATTTTCCACCAAGCTGTATAAAATTGAATGCTTAGAGGATATAAGCATATCAGGTGATATGTATTTCTGTAATGAGGGAGGGTGTAGCCTAAGGAGATCAACACCCTATATCAAGGTGTGCATAATTATTAGGCAGCTTGTTTTCCTCAGGCAAAATGGGCCCAAAAAAGATTTAACTGACTCTGAAAAATAAAAAATTGTAAAATCTTTCAGAGGGATGAAGCACTCTTGAAATTCCTAAGATATTGGGGTGTGACCCACCACAGAACCATCAAACATTTTGTTATGAATAGTCAACAGGGTCACAAGAAACATGTAGAGAGAAAAAGAAGCACATTAACTGCCAAAGATTTGAGAAGAATCAAATGTGAAGCTATCAGGAACCCATTATCCTCCAATGTGTCATATTCCAGAACTGCAACCTACCTGGAGTGCCCAGAAGGACAAGGTGTTCAGTGCTCAGAGACATGGCCAAGGTAAGGAAGGCTTAAACCCGACCACCATTGAACAAGACACATAAGTTGAAACTGCAAGACTGGGCCAAGAAATATCTGAAGACAGATTTTTCAAAGGTTTTATGATGAGATGAATGACTCTTGACGGACCAGATGGATGGGTCCTTGGCTGGATCAGTAACGGGCACAGAGCTCCACTTCGACTCAGATGCCAGCAAGGTGGAGGTGAGGTACTGGTATGGGCTGGTATTATTAAAGATGAGCTATTTGGATCTTTTTGGATTGTGAAGATGGACTCAAAATCAACTACAAAACCTCCTCCAGTTTTTAGAAGACACTTTCTTCAAGCAGGGGTACAGGACAAAATCTGCATCTTTCAAGAAGACCATGATTTTTTATGTAGGGCAATGCTCCATTGCATGCGTCGAAGTACTCCACTGCATGGCTAGCCAGTAAAGGCCTTAAAGATGAAAGAATAATGACATGGCCCCCTTCCTCACCTGACCTAAACCCTATTGAGAACTTGTGGACCCTTCTAAAATGGTAGATTTACGGTGAAGGAAAACAGTACACTTCTCTGAAGAGTGTCTTGGAGACTGTGGTTACTGATGCACAAAACATTGATCGTCAACAGATCAAGAAACTGACAGACTCCATGAATAGAAGGCTTATGACCGTTACTGGAAAAAAAGGGTGGCTATATTGTTCACTGATTTTTTTGTTTGAAATGTCAGAAATGTTTACTTGTACATTTTGAGCTGTTTGTTTATTATTCTCACTTTAACAGATGCAAATAAACTAGTGAGATGGGCAAATTTTCATTTAGTTGCATGATAATTCTGCACACTAATAGTTGCCCAACAATTGTGCACACATATTCTCCTAGGAAAACCAAATCTCACTTTTACTTACTTAAATATTCAGGTTTGAGGTTTATTAGCATTGCTAAATAAGAAAATACAACTTGCCTAATAATTGTGCCCACTGTGTACTGTGTTTCCCCAAAAATAAGACTTGGTCTTATATATTTTTGGTTGCCAAAATAAGCACCAGGGCTCATTTTTTGGGTAGGTCTTATTTTTTTGTGGCTGCCACGAAGCAGGAGGCAAAGTAGGGGGTGGGGTGAGGTGGAGGACAAAGCGAGACGATGGGGAAGTAGAGGACAAAGTGATGCACCAATGCCGTGGCCACTAAGCAAGGCAGTGTGTGGGGGGGTGGAGGACAAAACAAGATGGGAATGCAGAGCTGCTCCACGCACCCCAGACAGCCTGACAGAGGGCCCTGCAGCCAGGCCATCAACGTGCTGACAACTGCCTGGCCTTGAGGTGGCGGCACCAGCAACCCCATGCAGAATTTCCGGCCCACTTCTTCTCCTTACCGCCACAACAAAGCAAGAGGCTGACCGATGCACCTGTGCTGCGGCCACTAAGCAAGGCGGTGTGGGGTGGAGCACGAAGCTTCTTTTCCTTACTTGCTGCCGCAACAAAGCAGGAGGCTGAGCGATGCACCTGTGCTGCGGCCACTAAGTGAAACAGTGGGGTGTGTGGAGGACGAAGCTTCTTCTCCTTATTCGCCGGCGCAACAAAGCAGGAGGCTGAGTGATGCACTGGTGCCACAGCCACTAAGCGAGGCAGTGGAGGGGTGAAGGACGAAGCCCCAACAGTATCCTTGGCCGCCCAGCCTGCAGAGCCCTGATGCTGGTGGAATGAGGCGCCAGTGGTCAAAGCAGCCCCTTCCCCGGCTTCCCTCACTTCCCCAAAGCATCCCTTCACTAGCCTGTTTTAACTCTATGCCGCTGCGTGCAGAGAAACAAAAGAAGCCTGTGGGACTCTGGTTAAAAAAACATTCAATCAGAACATCCAACTTTGCGAGATCTTTTTTTTTCCGCAAGAAGTTGGAAAGTCAGGTTAATCTTTTATTTTTAGTTCCACAAACTTATTTTTGTTGCCCTGCATGCGGAGAACAGAGCTGGAAAGTAGGTTAGTGAAGGAATGTGGTTGACCTGGGGTGCGGTTAAGATTTGGCATTGTGGATGCCCTGGGGTGGGGTTAGGATTTGGCACTGTGGATGCACTGGGGTGGAGTAGGGGTTAGGATTTGGCATTGTGGATGGCCTGGGGTGGGGGTAAGGATTTGGCATTGCTGATGCCCTGGGATGGAGTAGGGGTTAGGATTTGGCATTGTGGATGTCCTGGGATGGGGTGGGGTTAGGATTTGGCATTGTGGATGGCCTGGGGTGGGATAAGGATTTGGCATTGTGGATGCCTTGGACTGGTGTGGGGGTTAGGATTTGGCATTGTAGATGCACTGGGGTGGGGTTAGGATTTGGCATTGTGGATGTCCTAGGGTGGGGTGGGGCTAGGATTTGGCATTGTTGATGCCCTGGGATGGAGTAGGGGTTAGGATTTGGCATTGTGGATGCCCTGGACTGGTGTGGGGGTTAGGTTTTGGCATTGTGGATGTCCTGGGGTGGGGTGGGGTTAGGATTTGGCATTGTGGATGTCCTGGGGTGGGGTTAGGATTTGGCATTGTGGATGTCTTGGGAGGGGTGGGGTTAGGATTTGGCATTGTGGATGCCCTGGGGTGGAGTAGGGGTTAGGATTTGGCATTGTGGATGCCCTGGGCTGGTGTGGGGGTTAGGATTTGGCATTGTGGATGTCCTGGGGTGGGGTTAGGATTTGGCATTGTGGATGCCCTGGGGTGGGGTGGGGGTTAGGATTTGGCATTGTGGATGGCCTGGGGTGGGGGTAAGGATTTGGCATTGTGGATGTACTGGGAGGGGTGGGGTTAGGATTTGGCATTGTGGATGTCCTGGGGTGGGGTTAGGATTTGGCATTGTGGATGCCAAATCCTAACCCCCACTCCAGAAAGGGGCTGCTCCAACCACCACCGCCTCATTCCACCAGCATCAGGGGTGTGCAGGCCGGGCAGCCAAGGATACTGCTGGGACTTTGTCCTCCATCCCCCACACTGGCTTGCTTAGTGGCTGTGTCACCGGTACATTGCTCAGTCTCCTGCTTCATTGTGGCAGCGAGTAAGGAAAAGAAGCTTTATCCTCCCCCGTCTCGCTTCGTCCTCCACCCCCCCCACCCTGCCTTGCTTCATGGCCGTGGCACTCCCCCGCCTCATGTCGGCAGCAAGCAGATAGAATGGGTGGCCGGCCAGCTGCACAGGCTCTGATGTAGGGCTTATTTAGGGCTAGGGCTTATTATATTTGGCGCAGGCGTGAAAACGGGCTAGGGCTTATTTTCGAGATAGGTCCTATTTTGGGGAAAACATGGTATATCAGAAGGACTTACATGAAGATCTGATAATAGTGAATAGCAAAGATAAGCAGAACTTCTGAAAGATTCTGAATACTTTTTCATGAAAATGTACCTCTAGATTTTGAGAGATTGATAGTTCACTTGGTAATGTCTACTTGGTTATGTCCATTACCTATATGAAGTGTTCCTATATGAAGTTACATTTCTCAAACAACATTCCATCTGATTTTGGTTCAAATATACATACTTCATCATCCTCATCTGTTAGTTCAAACCCTTCTTCATTAGGACTGTAGTCTTCTGAGTAGATAGATTCAACTTCAAACTCTACACTGAATTGATCTGAAACAGAATCTTCGTCTAACCAGTCCGAGTTTTCACTTAAACTGGCATGATCCTAGAGAGAGAGAATGTTTCTGATTAGAATAGTAATAAAATTTAAGAGATGAGGTCCCTATAATTATAATGCATATGTGGGATGAAAAAGAGCATCTGAAATAATGGGAATAAAACTGTGCTAATAGGATACAAACTTCTAGTAAAATTCTAGGTAAATAGTTAATTATATTTACTTTTAATCAAAGTACAGGAACCCATCATTTTACGACCATTCATTTAACAACTTTTCAAAGTTAGGACAGCATTGAAAAAAGTGACCTATGACTTACAAATGCTGTAGTATCCCCATGGTCACATGATCAAAAACCAGATACTTAACAACCAGCAGCATGTATTTATAATGGTTGCAGTGTCCCTGGGTTACACGATCACCATCAGCAATCTTCTCAGGGGGCTTTCAACAATCAAAGTCAATGGGGGAGGCCAGATTAGCTTAACAACCATGTAACTTGCTCAACAATCATGGCAAAAAAGGTAAAATTGGGCATGACTCAGTTAATGACCACATCAGTTAGCTGTCCCAATTAGTTCAGGTCCCAATTATGGCCCTAAGTTGAGGATTACCTGTAGCTCCTACAAGGAAGAACACATATTACCTGAACTGTAGGGGCATTGCTATGGGAAATAAATATTTTCTTTCTTTAAAAAAAAAGGCTACTACCATAATTAAAAAGTAAACATTCATCTTTTTAAAGAAAGAACATTCTTGAAATGACATGGGTATGAACTGAAGAGACAAGCTATGTTTAAACAACAATGATCATAAAGCATCAGTTGTCATACAGTTTTAGGAATTGCCCTATCCTGGTTCTATGTGGAATATTTAGCATTTTAGCAGGTGTTGTGCTACACAAAAGTCTAAAGAAATTGTTTAGCCAGCATTATATTTTACTGTGCTAGTTTCCAGCTTGTAGAGGCAAGTTCTGATATCATTGCATACTCCTGATTCACTATTGCAGTGGTGGTGAACCTATGGCACGCGTGCCAGAGGCGGCACTCAGAGCCCTCTCTGTGGGCACACATGCCGTTGCCCCAGCCTTGCCTCCTCCTGTGACCCCCTCCTCACCAGCAACCCCCCTGGAGAGTCGCCCCTGAGCATGGCCCACACAGAGCAGCACAGCCAAGGACATGGCAGCCAGGTAGCGTAGACAAGACTCTGCCCTCACACCCCATCGTGCACAGTTGATGCTGCGGGACGCGGGCAGAGGGCATGGCCGCAATGGTGCTGCTGGGCTGCCTGGGCGATTTGTGGCGGGCCCTGGAGGTGGTGAGTGGCCCTGTGGGCAGGTGGGGTGGGGCAAGGTGGGGGTGTGGAGCGGGGCCAGTTTTTGGGCACTCGGTCTCCAAAAGGTTCGCCATCATTGCACTATTGCATTATGCTTTGTCAAACCAAATGTTGAAGAAAATGCCAGTTAACCCTGAAATGCTATTAACTACCCTGCAAATTCAAAATCACATTTTAATAAAAGCTTCCTCTACTTTACAATATATAATTTAACAGATCACTGGCTTATTTAAGCAGAATAAACAGCTATTATTTTGCAAAATCTGTAATGTGAATGCATTTACAAAAAGGCTGTAGATGTAATAATATACCGTATATACTCGAGTATAAGCCGAGTTTTTCAGCCCATTTTTGGGGCTGAAAAATGCCCCCCTTGGCTTATACTCGAGTCAGCGGCGGCGGCGG